CCCACCTCCATTTTTTTATTTTTCTATTTCACATTTCATCTTTCAAGTGAGAAAAAAAGTACATACACTGCATGATCTGTTAGTGTGAAAGACAGAAAGATGAAAGGGAACAAGTATTAAGAATTCTGGGTTAAACTAAATTTTGCATTCTTCCCAGATTATTTGAGAAGCTGAGAAGCCACACACACACACACACACACACACGTGTAGACACCCCATTTCCTACCACCAGAGCTAAAAATTACTTAACTGCAAGTATAAATAACATAGGCTGCCAGTCTGTCATGCCCAGAAACATGAGGCCTTTTTCCTTGGGCTTCAGTTCTCAGTTGTACTGATAATCTTCAGCAGAATTCCAAACTAAGCAGGGCTACAGCTAAACTAAGTTCTTCCCACTGACTTATGGGCGTGCAAGAACCTTCCGTTTTCTGACAGGTCTTCTCTAGTCCTCCTACAGGCCATCACCTAGGAGTCCCCCTGTCCAGTGCCTTTTATAGGAGCTAACCTGTTTCATCTAAAAACTTCCTTCCTTAACCGAGCTCCTTCCACCTCCAGAGGAATCAGGTACCCATCAAATCGCCTGACTTCTTCCCAATAGCGACAGATAAACCCTGGTTCCAGACCCCGATTCTTGACGTGTTAGACCATCTCACTAGAGGAAGACAAATATTGTTCTCTTCTTGCACAGACTAGAGTATTTCATAATTTACCTTGGTGTTTGCCATGTCCACTATGTACTGGTCGCCTTTGACGCATTCCATTACTGGAAAGCCATCTCTGTCAAGAACTTTAGCTTGAGAGTTACCAGAGACGACAAGAATGACATCTCCTGTGCTGCTATACTGCAAAGATTTGATCTGGTGACTGGGGGGAAAAAAAGAAAAGAACATTCACATTTCAGTTGAATACAATTCTGGTAAGCTAATTTTCTGGTCGAAATGCAGCAGCAGTGGGAAAACAAATGTGTTATAAAGAAACAGAAACGTATAACTGTGGAGAAACCTGACATCCAAAGATCAGAAGCCACACCAGCAGTTAAAAAATAGTTTTTGCACAAGACGTTCCTACCGGATCACAACAACGTTAAATCCAAGGTTTCATTTCCCAGACATTTACTGTAAGGCTACTCCTGCTAACTCTAGGAAACAGCAGAACAGTCAAACGAATTGGCTTTTCAGGGCAGATGTTCCCTTTTATCTATACTCTCTAAAGCAACAAGTATTATATAAATAACTATGAACAAGGTTCCAAAGCTACATTTGCATGCTCAACAGTATGCTGGGAAACCAGTCATTTCTCAACATTTGGCCATCTTTTCTCATGTACAGGAATGCAGATATGTCAAAGGCAAAGATAAAGCTAAAACCACAACCCTCTCTATACACCCATCTCTATACAGAAAGCAATGCCATGCTAAAAGAAGGACACAGGTGGTCAGAAAAAGGAGATGCTTCCAAGGGACGTAAACTATATATTTTTCTTATCCTCTTCTCTAACCAGGCTGATAATGCCATACCTAGTTTAGCTTATGAGAAGTGTAAATTCAGATAGTCTAAACAAACTGAATTTTGTTTGAAACCCATTTTCTGTCTGGGGACATTATCAAGGGTAACAATTAAGGAGAACTGCTGAAGATTAAAGAGCGTCTGCAGCTGACATCCAATCCCTTTCAGTCTCAACCTTGAGACATGGACAAAGATGGTCTCTCTTCAAGAACTGAATAGCCATCCAGCTCCAGACCAAGGAGAAGAGGAGTGTGAGCAGTAGACATAACAGCAATCCAGTGTGTTTTTAAAATTGTGGATTTTTAAAGTGAAAAACTTAATTTTTCAATTAAACCAAAATATTCTGAGCATACAGGCACGTGCACACAAAACCTCCTCTACAGCCTACAGAGAACACAAGGTTTCAGGATGGTTTTTTCTGAAGAAAATTACGCTATTTACTCTTATGACACACACACCTTTTCCCCAAAAATCAGCCCCCAAGATTTGGGTGCATGTCATAAGTAGGAAAGCTCCTTAGAATAGAAGCACCCTGCTTTGATGCTTTTTCCATTGTGCAATAGCAGTACCATTACTACTCAGGCAGCACAGGAAGTCAGTTGACTTAATGACTCATCATACTTCAGTCCACAGGTGTTAACAATTGTGCCCTGTTTATAATAATCTTGATGTTCCACTAATCATGCTAACCTTTCTTTGGACAATTTTGCAATCTTCTAGCTGTAGTTGGTGTCTCTTCTTTCACAGCCTTGGAGATTCTTCAGCTCTTTTCAAAAACCATAGTTCTACCCATGGAGACCAGTTTTCATCTGCAGCTTGCATTTCAGTTTTTGGTTAAGCAGGAAAAGGCAGGGTTGAGCAAGCTGAAGATTAAGTTTTGTCCCTGCCCTATGCAGCTGTAACTCTAGAAATATCTTTTTCTCTTCATTCTGCTGTCCTAAAAACAATATGTATATCATATTTGCGTGTGTGGTATGTGAAAATACATGGTAGTAGAGGCTGTTAAGTTGGGAATGGAAATTAAGTAATAAGGTTAACTGTAAAGCTATTGTGATTTTATATTAGAACAAAAACCTAAAATGACTAGAGTCCATCTCTGCTACTGAAATTACAGCTAAGTATATTGACATATCAATTCAGAATGATTTAAAAAGGAATTTAAGTTCAACAGTGTCACAAGGAAGTTAACTCAGTTTTTAACTCAAGCACTAAAATTGACGTGCTACAGTGAAGGAGGCTTGGTGCCATCACGTTGCTTTCTAGAAGAAAGAAGGGAGATAAAACATGCACACCTCTCCGAAAGGAAAAACTCTTGCTGATAAATAAAAGAAATGTAAGTATATGGCAGATGTACATGATGAGTCAGCACTATCACTTTGAGCTGTGCAGAAGTCACCAAATCCTACATGATAGAAATGATAATACCCAAACAAACTTTCAGGCACTGTTTTAGAATGGTTTCAGCTGAAAAATAAATTCTTGAAGCTGTTTTAAAACTTCTCTCCAAAGAAGAGAATGGTCAAATTCCAAGTTCAGATGTGAAAATCTCTTTATAGGTAGGGCTTGTTTTACTAAATACTGTAAAAAAAAAATAAAAAAAATTCAGAAACATTACTGAACACTGAACCCTTATTTGGTACCATAACAGTTTCAGTAAAGCAAATAAAGAGCATGGAAATAAGTTATCTTGTTAGATGAGCTGTTAAAATACAAAAACGTTTGTACTTTGGCATTAATTTTATTGCTGAAAAATCAGTTTAAGGCAAATTATAGGTATGGCTTCAGTCATAATGTTAGTTGCAGCTCTTGCTAAAACGACATGTATACATAGTGCAAAAGTGATGCTGCAGCTGTGATAGTCCAGAAATTATGCAAGAGGAAAGGATTTCTTAGGGTGTTATCTTTTATTGGACCAACTATGTAATTGGAATAAGAGTTAGACAAGCTTTCAAATGCCAGATATTCTTCCTCAGGTGTGATCACCAGGAACTAAACATTGATATTGGTCCTATAGTACATTATATTTCACCTGGCTCCTGAATTTTTTTCCACACACGAAAGGTGAGAATGACTTCCTCCTTTTCAATATTCCTTGATCTCTCAGTAATCAGCTTCTTGGTTCTGCTAAACGTGGGTCTGCTACCTCTGGGAATCTCTCTCGCCTCCTCCCACTACTACATAGTTCTCCTTACTATGCTATGCCTGGCAACATCTTGCATTCAAAAGCTTGTCTTCTTCTTTGGCAATCCCTCGCAGTCAAGGATGGCTGTCTTCTATGAGCGTCTTATGTGTGTGTCTGAAGATGGCTGATGTGGCCTAGCTGGGATTGACAGACTCTACTGCAGCTCGGACATGCGTTTGGTCTGTGACATGCAGTTTCTGCCGCTCATGCTTTTCCACCTCCTGTTGTTGTCATGAAGTTTCAGAATACTGAGATGTCTGCAGCACACTTTTCCTCCATTTGCGGCAGTCCTGAGTGATAGTCTCCCATGAGTTGATATCAATGTTACATTTTTTTAAGTTAGCCTTGAAGATGTGCCTGAAGTGCTTTTCCTGCCCTCCTCTTAAGCATATGCCTTGGCTAAACTGGAAAAATAAAACTTTTAGGAGTCTCAAGTCAGACATCTGGATGACATGGGCAGCCCAAAGATACTGATGTTGAATAATCCTCACCTCAATACTCATAGTGTTTACTTGTAGGAAAACACTAACATTGGTGTATCTGTCTTCCCACTGGATTCAGAGAATCTTCTGCAGACAGCATTGATGGTATTTCTCCAACAAGTTTAGATGTCTCCTGTATGTTGTCCACGTCTCAGCTCTGTACAGCAAGGTGGGGATCATGACTGCTTGATAAACTATGAGCTTGGTTTTGGATCTGATGTTGTGATCTTTGAACACTCATTTCTTCAGGCATCCAAAGACTGTACTTGCACATTTCAGGCCATGTTGGATTTCTTCACTGATGTCAGCCTTCTATGAGAGATGGCTGTCTCACTCTGTACAGCTTGTCTAACTCCAACCCAACCACATAGTTTGTCCAATAAAAGAGATCACCATAAGAAATCCTTGCCTTACTAAGATACCCAATTTCTGCAGTGATCTGAGCAACATTCCTGAATCAAGCTCATAAAGCAGAACATGGCTGTTCAATTTGTAAAACAAGAAATAAGAATTACTTGTTGGAATAATTCCAAAATACCCAGGATTAACTGAAGTAAGGTTGGGAGGGCTCTTTTAATGAAAAACAATTAAGCTGCCAATGATGAAAAACCCATTTCTATTCTTACCAAAGTGTTTCAGTAGCTTTTCTCAGCATTCAACTAATGGATTATGACTCAAAGCATGTTAAAACCCTTTCCAACAACTTTGGACTGTGCTTCCCTAGAGTGCTTTAGTCAAGATCTTCAGTGGTCATGTTTCTGCAGAATATCTTGCTTCAGATGAAGAAGAGACTACTTCGGATGCAAACCTTGGCACATTTTTCCTTTGTTTTTAAAGGAACCTAAGGAAATCATTACTGAAATAAATGTTGAATTTTGGTTGTTGAGCATGCATGAAAATGTGTCACTTACTAACTTCATACTTTAGGATTCATGGGGCAATGTCCTTATAAACTGACACATAATTAACTTTTCTTCCCCACTCCAACTGTACTAGCTAAGGGTTATTTGTTAACAGTAGCTTTATTTAACATGTCAGCCCCATAACTGAGAATTACTGTTCAGAATATGAGACATACTATAGCATATATTAAAGAGGTTTTCTCTGAACACAGCAATGTAAAGGCTTTTTTAGCATCATTTCAAGGATCTCTGGCAAACCTAGCTGTATTTGTCTTAGGACACAAAAGCCAAAAACACTTCAAACATCCTATTATGCAATCCAAACTTGCAGCCAAAAATCATTATGAACTTGAGGTTTGAATAAAACTGGATATTAATGTATGCCAAATGCTACTTCATAGACTAAATGTAGGCTGAGGGTACAAAAAAATCAGGGCTGAAAGAAGGTTCAATATACCTCCAAGTTTATAGTCAGAACTTTAAGCAGCTTCTTGACTGCCTGACTGGCTAGGAAGAAATAAATTTATCTTTGCACTGTAGCAGTTTGAAAAAGATGGGAAATTTTCATAGTTCACAGTACCCGTCAGTCCGTGGGCCAGATGCAGTGAGTAGTCGTGATCCAGTGCCCAGCACAGGCGTAGTAAGCACCATCAGGCCACATAGAGGGGGGTTGGGAGAAGCCCAGAGCTAAGCCAGCCTTGCAGGGCAAGGAGGTGTGGCTTGGCCCAACAGGGGAAAAGGGGGCAAGGCCTAGCCCAAACCCAGTCACATGGGGAAGGGGGAAAGCGGGGTG